GTATGTAGTAAAAATAACTACTATCTCTATAATAATTTATTCTAATAGCGGACATTTGAAACTGTACTAACAACTTGATATATTTCATATTCTTCCATTACATCCTTTTGTAGAACGAGCTTTTGTCTTCAAGATCTTCCTTAATCAGTTTTTTTGTAAGATGATTGTTGACATTGACAATAACAGTCGTCCCACTACCAACATAAGATCCACATAATCATCATCATCAAAGCATAGTCCAGTATCACGAGCATTATAAATCGCTCGTTCAGGATATTTTACTTGAATTAGAATTGAATTTGGAATGGTACAGTACTATTCTTCAACGAAATAATAAAACTATCTTTGCAATAAACAAATTCTCCACTAGTGTTGCTATATAATTTATTCCATCAAATAGGACTATATCATCCGTGAATTTTATCTGTAACTTCAACTTTTATAACTACAACGACATTTATTATCATAATACATAATCTCCAAAATACTTTAGCCGTGAATCCATTTCTACTCAACGAAGAAGTAAATTAAAGCTGTAAGGATTATTGTTATCGAATATTTTCTGATTTTATTATTAATCCACGGTGCAATTTTGCAGCATCTTTTTTATTAATAACTCTTGAAAACTTTTCTGTTGCCCTCAGTGGTACTAAAAATATGCGAGGTGGAATTCTGGTTGCTTAATCTCTTTTTAATACATTTCCAGAGATCTTCATATAAAATTTGTTTGTATGACTGTACACTATCGGTAATATCATCTTTTGAAATTTAAAATAACGTATAAGAGGCAAACAATTTTTCAGAGTTGTCTTTAAAGCTAGAATATTCTCATTCGACTAATTCTTAGGATAATTCGATAAACCAGGAATTCGTACAATTCCGCATTTGATAACCCATTCCAGATTTCTTTCATCTGTAATCTGTAAATCATCACAGTGTTACTATTAATTGGGAGGGACTATAAATATCGTTCTTCAAGATGTGGGCACGTGAATTATGGGTCTCGATTTACGTAGATCACGATCGGGTCCTTACTAAATTAGTCCCGATTTAGGTTATCGTTATGCACGTAATTTAAGGAATATCAAAATGGCGTAATGGATTAGAACACAGTGGTCGGGTCTATAATAAGAAAAGAGGCTTATACGTCTAAGATAATAAGATCGTGTATGGTTAACAATGGTAATTAATAAGATGGTGGTTAATGCTGAACTATCGATTAGGGGCAACTCTAGGTTAACAATAATGTGTTGAAAAATAATAATAAAAGAAATAAAATAAAAAATGTTTAACAATAACTTCCAATAAACTGTATTTAATAAAGTGAGAATTCGATTCTTATTTCATATTTATTGAAGACATCGAAGTCTGAGGAAACTTTTATTAACGCGAAAACTCTGACTTTAAATACATTTTTACTTTCATACATGCTACTGCGCTACATTCTTTTATATTCTAAACTCGCGTAATTTGCTAAGCAGCGTTGTCGCGTGCCGCGAACAGCGCTGTCTCGAAAAAAAAAAGCCTCACTATTTCCTCTTCATTTCCCACAAGCCATTGTTAATATAGTTCTTGGCATGCCAAAAATGAGGGGCAACAATTACTAGTTTCCTTTTTCCGCCTCAATTGGATCTATATTACAATACTGAAGTGAAAGATATAAACAAACAAACAAAGAAGAAAAAAAAAGTAAAATAATAAATAAATAAAAAAATCTATCTGAGCCCCGAACAATATGTCACAAGATCGTGATGTCACGAAAAAAACTGTGACAACAGCCAATGAGAGCGACTAAAGCATTTACTTGAAGCGACAAAGTCTTCAAATTTAAGAATCTTTCAGGATCCCTTACAAAAGTTTCGTTGCTCTATTTCCGCAACTCTTGAAGATAAACATTTTGGAAGTTGTTGATGAACACATTCAGTATTTTTTTGAAGCCAATACGCTTTTTCTTTAATCAAATATATTTAAAAGTGTTTAACCAATTCTTCGAGAAGATATATATAAGGTGAGTAATGAGCATGTGTTTAAAAATAATGTTTGATCAATGCTAATAAATTATTTTCTTACATCTTAAAATAAAATACAAAATATTTTTACAAACAACTTACTTAATGATAATTCGAACTGTTGGATAGGCACAATTTTTAAATGAATTGTTCTAATGTTATTTGGGTCTCTGTAGCCATTTTTTCAATTCATTACGAAAGCTATGTCTTTAAATCGTTGAATATGCCCAAAGATTTTAATATTTGGTAATTCTCCAGCATTAATATTTACGTTAAACTCTTTATCGTCATTAAGAAGTTCAAGATAGTCATTGGAAAGTTTTTTAAAGAAATTTACTTCATTTTTTAAAAACATGATTATGTGAATTTTCACGAACGCGAATTAAACAAATGGTTACACTTTACATGTCAGTAGATTTGCGGAATTGGTCCTAAATTGATCCTTAATTTTATCCTCAAAGTTATCCACAAAATGAACACAAAATTTGTAGCAAACAGATATACGTACTGTACATATAAAGATAGTTTAAGGAGTAATGAATACAATAACACGGTTATTGTATCAATTTACCACTCATTTCAGGACCAATTTCGCTATTTTATTATAGCAAAGATTTCACAGAGTAAACCCTTATTGTATTAACTTTAGAGATAAAGTCACTTTAAATATAGTTAGCAACACTCATAATTTTCTTTAATTTTAAATTAAGAATTTTTTACTATTAATTTTATAAACAGTGACTACCCTTAAGGCTGAGTTAATTTGCATTAGAATTTTTATAATTTTTATTATGAAAAATTTTATTACTAAATTTACTCGCTATTCTAATGATGAATAATATGAGTTAGTTTGCTTTGGAATTATACATAATTTTTTATCATAAGTTGTTGTGAAAAAATTTAGTTGCAGAACTTACTTGCTATTCTAGTAATACTTGATATAGTTCACATTAAAATTATCATAATTTCTATTTTAAAAAAACTCCATTACTAACTAAACTTACTCGCTATTCTATATCTATAATAAAAAATCCTATTGTAAAACTTATTTGTTATTCCAGTGACACACATTATGTGGCTAAAGTTAAGCCTTGCATTAAAATTATTGTGATTTCTATTTTTACTGAACTTACTCGCTATTCTAGTTATACACAGTATGAGATTAAGGATGAGTTAGTTTGTATTAGAATTATTATGATTTATAATGTAAGCTACTATAAAAAATTTTGTTTGAAACTTACTCGTTATTTTGATGATACACAGTACGCGGTTAAGGCTAAATTGCATTGAAATTATCATAATTTTTTCATGAAAAAGTTCTATTTATTACCTTGTTATTTCATTGAAACTCAGTATGTGGGAAAGAATGAGTTAGTCTGCTTTGAAATTATCATTATTTTATCATGAGCTATTGTAAAATACAGGAGGAAACGTTGAACGTCATAAAATTGTTACACGATTGATAAAAATTTTTTTATATTATTTTACAATACTTTTTTGGAAGGCTCGTTTGACTTATCTTTTCTATGAATATTGAAAATGATTAAACAAACATGAAGCTCTCACTTTGCTTTACAACATATTTTTTGAATCCCCTTGAATCCCACGGTTTTGTCTTTTTGTAAATTTCGCAATTTGATTGGTTGACAAATTCCGTAGTGATATTTTGACTGGTCGATACAATGAGTGATCTGTGTAACGGAGAGTGAAATCATATCTATATTTGGACGTTTCCTCCTGTTATTGTAAAGATTCTGTTTCAGAATTAACTCACAATTCTGGTAATACATGATTGAGGTTAAGTTAGTTCGCATTACAATAACATAACTTCTATTATGAAAAAATTTCGTTACTGAACTTAATCGTTATCCCAGTTTCTTTGAAATTTTCATGATTCTTATCATAAGTTGTAGAAACTTTACAGAACTTGAAAGTTGCTTTTAAATAATGTTATCGAACTTGCTCATTATTCCGGTAACAGGTATGTTGTAAAGTTGAATTTTTGCATTGGAATTATCATGATCACTGCTATAAAGTATTGTAAAAAAAATCATGGTATAGAACTTGCTCGTGCTTTTACTACATTATCGCTTATTACGTATTGCGCGAACTTTTTTAAAAAATATTTACGTAACAACTTTGACCTTATTGATATGTCATTTACTGCACGTGCAAGTACAACCTTGACCTTATTGATATGTCATTTACTGCACGTACAAATGCAATCATGCTATTGTATATGGTAATATTTTTGTAGGATTTCTATACAATACTGGATATGATTAGGGTTGGGCAAAATTTGGAAGGTTACACAAACGCCCAACCCTATATATGATGTAATTAAATGAACAACACCATCATGTTATTCGTCATCATAGGACAGGGTTATTCGACGCATTATGTTTTATCATAAGGAATATATATATTAAGTTGGAGTATGTATATTCGTTTTTTAAGGCAGTATTATAATCTATCTTTACTATCGTAATATTGGCTGCAATTCCGTAATTAGCTTTACCAATCAGGCCACGTATAAACCGATATGTATTGTTAGAACAGGAGGGACGTTTTTGTTACACAACTGATTTTACACACGGTGTGAAACACAAAAAAATTATTTTACAATACAGCTTTGATCAGTTCGCTAGTACATATTATGATTATAATCCAACACCATTTTATTTTTGTACTAGCAGACTGATCAAAGCTGATCAAGTATTAATCATTTTAGGGGTAATAATAATTATATCAAATTAATAAATTATATCAAATTAATAAATTATACGGATACGTATCAGTTAGTATACCAGAGAATGACATATTTTATTAATGATTAATAAAATGAATAGGGCTCAAATTCAGATGATCTAAAAAAGGTCCAATTCCGCCAATCCACAGAAATGATCAGTTGTGTAACAACGACTTTTCCCATTTGTTTATTGTTGGTGAAAATTTTCTTCCTTTTGCTATTTCTAGCCTAGCATAAGCATTATGTTAAAAACCTTTTACGTAATTTCACTAGTTATTGCATTAAGCCTGTTCTTAGGACTATTCTTTGGTTTAGGATATCCAGAAATCAAAAGGGCAGAATATATCTCTACAACATGTACAATCACCAACGAGACCATTACATCCAGATACTGCTGCTATAGAGATTGCGATTTTACTTGCCAAAATGCACCCTCTTCATCACCTAGTTGCTCATCACTTGAATCTCGTTGGAATGCATTTTCACCTACTAAATGTGCTACTGCTTTGAAGGCAAATAATTCTCAAAATATAGATGATTATTGTCCTATTGATGGACCTCAAGCAACTTGTGATAATGGATATTATTGTTGTGATGAATGTTGTCAAAAATGTACAAGTTGTAGTAATAACAATACTTGTACTACATATAGTTGCAACTGCTCGTGTTGTAACTATACAAATCATCAATCCTGTCAGATTAAATGCCCCGAATGTTATACCTTGAAGTTAATGGTGCAGTATCCTATTTGGGGAGGTAAAACTATAACTTCTAATATTTCTGTCGATTATGATCAGTCCATAACGGATGCACAAAATTATATTACAACACATCCTGTAGAATCCAATGTGCGATGTTATTACAATCCTGAAAATCCTTTGCAAGTTTTATTATCTATAGATTACTCAGTTCGAACTTGGGTTTTAGTTGGAATAAGTGCATTCATTCTTTTTGTAATGCTTGCAATTGGGACCTATTACATCTTCTACAAAGTTCCATTTTTGCAAGATATTAGTTACAGAATTTTCTCTCTTCAAAGTGGAATATGGATCGGAACAATTGTTCCATTACTGTTCTTCTTTTTACTTTTGGTCCCCATCACAAACAAATATGTTCTTTTGATGCTCTCATTATGCTTTATCAGCATAGGGTGGACGCCTTTATTAATCAGCAGTATTATTAAATTTAAAAGAAAAAGTTTTTCAATGGCGTGTTTTATTACGTTTCTATTTTTCATATTACCTATCACTATTTTTGGTTCAACTGCAATGAATATTTCATTCGAAATAATGAAAATTTTGTTGATAGTGTTGGCAATTATAACCCCTATAGGCTACATTTTTTGGATTACTGAAATATGGAACAAATTATACATACTTTTCATTTTTTGGATTACTGAAATATGGAACAAATTATACATACTTTTAACAAGATTATTTCATAATACTTTCAACGAAGAAAAAAATTCACCCATCAACATAGCAAATCGTAATGAAAATCCTATCATTGATGATAGTGCACCTCCAACTTATGAAGAAGCAATCGCGATACCATAACAAAAGTGCATTATAACTGAATTTATAATTAGAGATGAGTTAAATTGATACTATTACCTAGCGTTACATTTCTTTCGTAGCTTTTTTCTTTTATGATTAAATAATATAAAGTTTAGGTCTCAGTACACATTTTAACAAATTTATGCAATCCTAACTCTAATAACATAATTAGTATACGTATGTAAGTAGAGAGAAATTTTACTCTATCAGGTATTGTAAGAATAAATAACCTTGGGATCTTGTTAATTATAATAAAACTAACAATGTATTTTAATATATATATCAGTGTTTCGGCATAGGCAATTTTGGAGGTTTCGGCCATTTCGGAAGTTTCTGCCATTTTGGAGGTTTCGGATTTTGGGCGATACCGAAACGTTTCGGACGTTGGGGGAGGTTTAGGCCGAAACACTGGTATATCAAATAAAGCTTACATAGTAATGCATACATTTTATTATGGAATCAAAATTCATCATTTAATGGTTAATTAAGTGTTAGTTTATAAATTTAAAGTAAAAAATATATTTATTATTATTTACAGTAAAGCAAAATAAAAACTCTAAAAATATTAAACCAAAATTTTATATTATTATTTTCGATAATGTTATTTATTATTTAATCAAATAAAAAAAATACAATTTGGTAAAAAAATTAACAAATAGATGTTTTTAAATATGGTATAATATTATTTATATTAATTATAAATAATATTTTTACCTTTGAACACTAAAAGCATCAGTTTTCTTAGTTTGTATACATAACAAAATATTCAAAGTTCGGTAATATCAAGCTTGATTTGAGCAGTATCAACTTGTGACAAATCTAGATAAATAAAATTATATTAGTTTTAAATAGTTGTAATATAAATTTAATTAATATATTTGTTGAAAATACCTTTAATCGCCTTTGAAATTAATTTCGTGCTAATAATTTTGCTAGTATACATTTCATCAGAATGCTTTGGTATCGGCAATGATTTAGCAACATTATCAGCATCCAAGAATTGCTTTTTAATTTCATTATCATATCTAGCTATTTTATCAAGCCAATTTCTTATTGTATCACGAACATCCCGAGCATTAGGCCGTTTTTGTGGATCAGAATTCATGCATTTCTCAGCCAATTCAATATAGCATTTAGGAGTTTTATGAGCAAACTCTGGACGCAATCCTCTGCAAATTTCTACTGAAAGTTTGGTATCAAATTCACGTCCATCGAAAGGTCTTTGACCAGTCGACATTTCTGCCATAATCATACCAAACCCATAAATATCTGCTGCTTGTGTAAACTGCTGCTCGCCTGATAAAACTTCAGGTGCAACATAAGGCATAACTCCATAAATTTCGCCAGTCGAAACATTCTCATCTACTTTTCTAGACAATCCCAGATCTGCGATATAGGATCGTGTATATCTATATGTGCGTTGATCTTGCAAAATGTTACCACTATGAAAATCTGCATGGATATACCCTGCATTATTATGAATCCAATTTAACTCAAACGCAGTTTCATAAAGTATTTGTAATTTTGCCTGCCACGTAAGTTTACTAAAATTTTTTGTCAAATATTTATGAAGACTTCCATTATCAGCATACTGAAAGACCATCAAGTATTCTTTTGTTTCTGTGTTTTGGGTTATTCCATATATTGCGAAATTTAATTTACATGTCACATGACTTTTAAACTTAAAGTTTAAATAATGAATTAGCTCAATAAACTATTAGAAAAATTATCAAAGCAATAAATTAACTTACTTCTTTTAAAAAATCGGTGTTTTCTTTAGAACTGGCCAACGTCTTGAGTGCAACGACACTGTATGATTCACGCGCTTTTACATAATCATAACGACCACCACCAACTTTTTTTCTGCCATCCAACCAAGTTGCTGAATATACAGAACCAAAACCTCCTTCACCAATTTTTTTAACGTCAGATAATTTATCAAATGGAATCAATTCGATCGCGTCTTCATATATGTAGGTTCTAAGTTGGAATGTTTTCACGCAATCATCAATATCTTTATTTCCACTTGTCCATCTTGTTGTCCTATCAGGATCACACGTTAAACACCATGCTGGATTAATGTTATCTTCATTACAATGTGCACATTTTCCAAATTCAGAATGCCTATATAATAAATTATTTAACTTTATTTCGCAACTGCTATTTTAAGCTTTATATTGAATGTAAATAAATGATTTTATACTCACCGACTAAATTAATGCACATAAAATGTAATGAATGGTAATAAGTATTCATTATCTTGTTTTGCTGTTTTTATTTCCATTGATTAATAAACATTCTTTATACTCACGTACTGAATAAAATGATTAATGCGAATGAAATGAATTTAAGCGTAATGGTAAATAAGGATTTATGTTCTTGTTCTGTGAACTTGTTTTGCTAGTTTTAATTCCACTGATTAATAAATATTATTTATACTCACTAACTGAATAAAATGATTAATGCGAATGAAATGAATTTAAAGGTAATGGTAAATAAGTATTTATGAACTTGTTTTGTTGTTTTTAATTCCATTGAT